CCTGGTGATAATAGAGGGCGTGTGACTGCCCACATGCCTTTCCATTTATCTTACGGATGCAAGCATGCACAAAACTACAATCTTTAAGACTGTCCCCCTGTATACGATTATAGTTCCTACAAATAACTATGCCATCAGGCGTTGAATTCAATGGGGAAACGCCTAATGAAGTATTACTGCTAGTAAGTTTGGGATTGGAAGGGGGATTTGCCTAATCTCGTGCTCTTCTTTTTTCCATAGAACATCATAAAGATCATTTGCGTCTCTCTGACTATATAAATGTTTAGAGCTTAAACTTCCAAAATGGTTTCACAGTAAAATAACACAATTTATTCGGATCAAATAATCGGTAAATCCACCAACTAAGTTTGGTAATAAGAAGACCAAGGATTACCACCAGGCTAGTCTTGTGTACGTATCATGGAATTTCATAGTTCCTGGCTCCCCTTCGAAATAAAAAATTAAAAAGTGAGTTTTATGTCCTTTCTCCCTCTCCAGATCAGGAATTCATTTGAATATTGGGCTGCATTACCCGAGCTTGTTTACTGGGCACAGAAAAAGATAGTAATCACAAACTGGAGAGAAATGGCTCAGGGCGAAGGCCCAGAGCCGGTTTAATCAATAAAGTTATCAAATAAATTACAAAAATATTTGGTTCCAAGAAAAATGTAATGCGCCCAGTAAAGGTGAGGGCACAAAAAACGCTCACCTTACACAAATTAAATCTGAACCACTACCAGGAAAGCACTGCGGACAGGGAAAGGGGAGGAGGAGGGGTACTGAAACAAACGTGTTCACCAAAGAAAGCAGGAATGAATGGCAGCTTAAAAGTAATGTAACAAGTCATGAACGTGACACAAGTTAGTGGGGGTTCAATAAAATGAAATCTCCCATACCCCTGCCCCGTGACCGCCACGCGCCTTCTGGTATTACATAATCATTGGTACATAACATATTTCATGCGAGACTACCATTTATATGCTAATATTAAGCCACCAAAGGCCAGAGAGAAAACCATAAAAGTTCTATTTGTCAGACAAATAATCTCTTTATGTCCTTTCTCCCTCTCCAGATCAGGAATTCACTTGAATAGTGGGCTGCATTACCTGAGCTTGTTTACTGGGCACAGAAAAAGATAGTAATCACAAACTGGAGAGAAATGGCTCAGGGCGAAGGCCCAGAGCCGGTTTAATCAATAAAGTTATCAAATAAATTACAAAAATATTTGGTTCCAAGAAAAATGTAATGAGCCCAGTAAAGGTGAGAGCACGAAAATCGCCAAGCAGAATGATGGATATCATACTGCCGCCCCACCCGAAAGAAATGCTGCCCCCAAATTGAGAACAGAAACAAAAGCATCTTAACTTGCCAACAATCCGAAAGGTGGAAGAGGTCACATGCACCTCCTCGACAAAAGTTAAGTTATTCCAACTAGGAAGTAGAACTGCTGCCCTTGCAAATCAGTTCAAATAGCTATGGATATGCACATGCACCTCGTCGACAAAAGTTAAGTGATTCCAACTAGGAAGTAGAACTGCTGCCCTGAACTGCAAATCAGTTCAAATAGCTATGGATAAGAAGGTGTAAAGAGCTATGCCCAATACATCTAGTAAATCTTGAATTAAAAGAGACAATTTAACTGAAATTAAGAACTGCTGCCCTTACAAATCAGTTCAAGTAGTAAAAGTAGTAAAAGAAAGTGGTAAAAGTTTTTCCCTAAAAAACTAAGAAATCTGGCATTAAAATAACCTCATGAACAATGGGAACTGGTGCCCTTGCAATTCAGTTCTTAATAAGAAACCATGAAAAGAAAAGAAACATCAGGCCCTTAGCCTGGAGATTGGACTATGGGGAACTGCTGCCCTTACTAATCAGAACCCCATACTCCTTTGTATATAAGTACTGGAAAATGATAGGACTGCTGCCCTTGCTATTCAGTCCTATCACTTTCACGTAACCCATGCACAGCCTCCCCCGCAAGCTATGCAAGAGTTACATGTAAAAGAAAAATTATGTTGAAAGTGACGGTATTCTAATATATTTAAGAAAGGCATTTGACTTCCAGCGACCCAAAGCCCTTATTTGAGCATCAGACATTCCCCGCTCTGCAGCAAATGAGGCAGCACTGATGCGGAAGCTATGACCTTTATAACGTGTGGAGTCCAGCCCAAAAGCCTTTAATGAAAGAGACATAAGGTCGGCAAAAAATTTTCTAGAAACGGGATTGTTATCTGGATGAAGGAAAAGTGGGCCTGGTCTATTTCCTCGCCTTGCTAAATACTCTAGTAAAAATTGCACTGGACAACAAGAATTCTGGCGATGCAAAAAGATTGTAAAGGGACGCTGGTTGTAGCTGTTGTTGAATTTGCCAAAGGTAATCTTAAGAGCGACGATATAACTAGAAGAATAAACCAGTTTAGAAACATGTTGAACCTGCAGTATAAGATTGCTAGCGTCCTTCGCCGAGTTGTAGGTCATCTCACCGATTCTAAGGAAGGCAAAAAATGCTGTTGTACACATGACTCTAAACTGACAGCATTGAAACTCGGAAATAGAAAGTGTAGCGGAAGACTCAATCAATTTTTGGAGAACTGGAAGGGTAATAGGGAAGCGTGCATCTAAACGATAACCAAGTTTGTTATAACCCTTAAGCATTTGAATGATAAAGAAGGCCTTCGTAGGATCTGAATAACCAAGAAATTTGTGTGAATAGCCGAGAGCAGACACATAGGAACTTACTGTTGATGGAGCATAATTTCTGTTATACATGTAAGCGATAAAAAGAGCCAGTGTATTGGGTGAGATGGGAAAGGAGTTGGAAACGGACTGGAAAATTGTGTTCAAGAATTGGTAAAAAAGCGTCCAAGCACGCCGATAAGTTGGAATAGAGGAACTATTGAACCCAATTCTGAGGCTGCAGATGCTGGGGAATATCTGTAGGCAAGGGGTCCATGTGAGCTGGAGCTAGATGTCTGAAAGTCTGCACCTGCAAGCGAGACAGAGCATCAGCGAGGTTATTATGAATTCTCCGAATGTTTTTGGCTTTGAAAAGAATATTGTGATGTAAACACATTGAAACAAGCTTCCGAACAAAGGCCATCAAATGTTTATCCTTGCACGTTTGTCTATTGATCACATGTACCAGAGATTCATTGTCGGTAAAAAACAATATGTACTGATTACCCATGGCTTCGCCACAAAGGTACAGACTTAAGACAATAGGGTAAAACTCTAGAATTGCAATATTCTGGTATTCCCAATTAGCAGGCCATTTCCCATAGCACCAGTGGGACCCAAATATAGCTCCAAAACCATGTGCACCAGAGACATCAGTAAAAAGATTTAATTTGGAGGAATTGAGCCATAAGTCGTCCAAGAAAAAATACCTTCCATTGAAATTTAATAAAAAGGACAGCCATGTTTTGAGATCCTCCTTCACCTCACGATTAAGTCTAATGTAATGGTTCGGTAAACGTACACCCACCGTCAAGTCAATCAGACGTCTTAAAAAGGCTCGACCTGGTCTTATGACTGAACAAGCAAAATTTAAGAGGCCGTTGAGGGACTGCACCTCCTTTAAGGTGACCTTTTTGCGGTGGATAAAATCTGAGATCAGAGAAATACATTTTTCAATCTTATCACGAGGTAGACGAGCCTCCAAAAAAATGGAGTCTAATTCAATACCCGCAAACGACATGATAGTGGAGGGACCACAAGTCTTTTCTGGTGCTATGGGAATACCCAGGTAAGAGCAAAGTGACAAAAACAAATCCAGCTGTTGTTGACAGAGTTGCTCACTAGGAGCAACTAGGAGGTAATCATCAAGGATGTGTAAAATGTAATCAATTTTTAGCTTATTACGAGCAATCCATTCCGCAGCTGTGCTAAACATTTCAAAAGTCAAGCAGGAAGAGGAACAACCCATTGGCATGCATCGGTCTTAATAATAGAGCCCCCTCCACTGCATCCCAAGGAGACCATAATCATCAGGGTGAATGGGGATAATCCGGAATGCATTTTTAACATCTGTCTTGGCCAAAAAACAACCTGGACCAGCACTTTCAATCAGTTGGATGGCGTCATCAATTGTAGCATATTTAACACTGGTGTGATCTGAAGAAATGCCGTCATTAACAGAGAAGCCGGTCGGAAAAGACAAATGATGGATTAAGCGAAATTCTCCCTGAACCTTCCTTGGGACTAAGCCGAGGGGTGAAATCTAGAAGGGAGACAAAGGAGGGGATTGGAAAGGACCTGCCAATCTATGGGCTTCTAGCTCTTTTTGGAGCTTAGCATCAACAGCTTCTGGATTATCTAGAGCCGACATTAAATTCGTAGCTGTTCTAGATTTACGCTCACCTTAAAAGTGAACCGGAAAACCTTGAGTAAAACCAAATGACAAAAATTCAACAGTGAAAGAGGTGTAATCCTCTAGGAGAAAACCTAATCTCTCAACTTTTACTGGAGGTGGGAGGCTGGGATGCCGATGGGGAGGACTTGGCACGTCGGGGGCTGAGAACTGGCAATTTTTGATGAGCCACGAAAATTACATTTTGAAATTGGGTGTGACCCCTCACACCTGTAGCAAAGGTGCTTAAAAGTACAACTAGGAAGACACTTGCGATCCTTATGGAATTTAAAACAACATCCTTTTGGGACAAAATCTGCCTTTCCTTTTGGTGGGTGAGCCGGGTTTTGGAGTGGTCGACACAGAGAAACTTGTGACTTAAGCCACCACTCGCCATGGATTCGATCCCACGGAAGAGCGGCATGGTGTGCCTGCTTCAGAAACGAAAATTCTCGTTGTAAAATTTCCAGTCGTGGCCCCTTCCAGCCAAGTCCTGAATTATCTCCCCATATTTCATGAGGGCGGGGGCCTCATGAGGGAATTGTTTTGTGTAAGCCCCCACAAAAACGTGAAAACTGCTTAACCACGTTTCAATTGTTGTAACCTTTTTGTGCTTAGCCAATAGTTCAAGGTAAAGAGAGGGGGTAAAACCGCTGTCTGAATTATTAATGGTTATTTGATATTCATGGACTAACACTGGGTTGGCAAGTAGTGAACCAAAGTCTACATATTCATCCTTCCAAATTTTTGCTCGTATTTTTTCTGATAGACGGACATCCACTGGTAAGCTCACGGATTGAAACAACTGAGCTAGCACTGGGTTGGATGCTGAAACTTGGGGGATCAGACCCGTCAAGGCAGTCGAAGCATTAGCCAAGCTCTGTTGAACAACTGTTGACGCAACTTCCTCAGTATTCTGGCCAACAGGGGAACTGACTGGAACTTCCTGTAGAGTTGATAGTGCTGCAGGAGACGGATTGCTGGAAACCTCGGTAGGAAATAAACGACGAGAAACCTCATCCGCAACGCGGGTTATTAGGGTGTCCATAAACTGTGGGGATAACATGGATTGCACAGACTCATTTGAATGGGTAGGGACAGCAGGATCGGATGCTACTGTGATAGCCTCAACTTGTGGGGACCGTTTTGACCTGGCAGGAACAGCCCGAACCGCCGCACTACTGGCTTGGACACTAGCTCGAGGGCTGCTACGTTTCGTGGGGCCAGTTGAGGTAGATGTAAGGCGACTGGACTTGGCTTTTGGCATGATAACAATCTGCAACCCAAAAAGAGAAAAGGAAACCTGGCTAACATTAAACTAGATGAGATCAAAAGGGGAAAGTAGGCAATAGAATTTAAAAACAACCTGGTGCGCACAAAACCATGTCAAGACGCAAAGTCGACGCGTTGGTTGGCCCTTGATGCCACAAAAGAAAAACAAAGCTAGCATAACTACATATGACTAGCCAGAAGCCAGCATAACTACATATGACTGGCCATAAAAGAACAAAGCTAGGATAACTACATATCACTAGCCACAAGCCAGCATAACTACATATGCATGGCTATGAAATTAATAAAGCTAGGATAACTACATACCGCTAGCCGAAAGCCAGCATAACTACATGTGACTGGCCGAAAATAACAGTACAAACAAGAAATTAAAAATAAAAGATCAAACATATGCCAATAACAACAACTTTGCAAATAAAGAAGGTTGAATTCCTCCTGAAATACATAAAAGGCCAATAAAAAGGCCAAGAATAAGAACCAAAAATCATTTCGAAGAATATTATCACACATGACTAAAAACCCTTGTAAAAACAATGAGTCAAGTCTTCTGAAGAAGACCGACAGCTTTGAGGACGGCGCCTCGATAACTGCGGTAAAGTAAATACTGACCGGATGGATTCAAGTGAACCCCGTCCGCTAAATAGAAATCTTTATGGGGATTATTGAACTCAGGATGACGCCAACAAAAAACATTGGGTAAATCAGCCAGAACGACATTAACATATTGGTCCAGAACCGTTGCGTTACGCCAAAACGACATGGCATGTGGGGAGAAGATGCCACGCGGGATGAAACAAACGTGTTCACCAAAGAAAGCAGGAATGAATGGCAGCTTAAAAGTAATGTAACAAGTTAATATGAATAGTCAATAAAAATATAAAGTGTAAAGTAACAAACCTTCCACCAGCTTTGACAAAAAAAGAGTTGTTTGCAGCACAGCACACACATTCAACTTCACTTGGCATGACTGTTCATCTTTCACAAACACACCAAGAAGAATCTGTCCGTTGACTTTTAGTGCTCGATCGAAGATCGAAATCACGAAACTTCTTCCTCCCCTGAATCCACGGGTTCTTCTTCAGCTTCTTCATTGGAAGAGTAGTCAGGGTCAAGCTGATAAAGCTGAATAGATATCACGATCGCTTCTGCAGGTCACGACACGAAGCTAGCTGTTTTCAATAAAAACACAAGAATTGCTAGCAGGCAGCCAGGGCAAGCAACCATATTGCGTCATCACCCTAGAGAGCCTTGCACGCTGAGGAAAATGGCGGACGAGCAAAGTTCGAACCAGTCATTCTTTTGGCCTCTTTTGAACGGTAAAAAAAAAGGAACTAATAAACGAACGTTTTTCTGCGCCAAAAATCTTTTCTTGGGGGGATCTTAAGAACATTTGAACAATATTTTCTTTAAGAGAGGTGTTATAGTGATGGTAGTTTTGATCGCTTTTCTCAACCCAAATGTTTTTTTTTCCTGTCATAATGCAGATATCTTGATAATAACAAAATCCAGAAACTGGAATCAGGGACGTTCTCAGGTCTCAGAAAGTTACAGAGATTGTAAGTTGTACTTAATTAAGTGCTCTTTATTTATTTCAATATTTTGTTGTTGTCGTCGTTGTTGGTATTTTCATTCTAGTTAATGCTAGAGTAGTGTAAAGTACAGCTACTGTCATCACCATACTACACTATCAAGCCATAAATTTGCCGATAGTGTGTGCTACAGACGTTTTATATTGAATATCCCAAATTGCGAATCATTGAGAGAAATTGAAATTACAGGAGAAGATTGTTTAGGACGCTATCATTTAGGGAGGAAAACTAAAGGATCGGAGGAGAAAACGGGTATCTAAATTAAAGTTACTAAGGGCTCGTTAGGTATCTGCTTGGAAATAATTGACTAGTGTGTAGGTTGCACGTGCAATGCATGATTTCAATGTCCGTCTGTGTTTCGTGTGATGGTGTACTTAACAATTATTCCTCAATAGCCAATAGCCTATGGGGCCGAAGGCCGAATGGGCTATTGACTCAGAAGCCATGAGACGAGAGGAATAATTGTTTTAGTAAAATCCAACTAGCTGGTCATAAATACCGAGACAAAACAACATAAGCTAGCAAAACGCGATTCAGCGGCCATTGTTTTGGTTTTCAAAGCCGGCGCTTTTCGCTACTAGTGGGCTATAACATATATCCTAGTAGTAGCTGAACCAATTAGAACGCAGCTTTGATAATAAACCACTAGATGGATTTTACTAATTATCATTATTCTCTACAAAACAATGTATGACCTGTTATCTGCCTTGATCTTCGGCTTCGGCCGACGAAAGTTACCTAGGCCTTGATTATTCCCGATATCAAATAACTTAATCTAATATCCTAATCTAATAATCGTTTATTATTATTCAGCTTCACTTAGTAGAGTGCAAATACCGACCAAAAAGACTACAAATATCTCACGGTATTTGTATTCCAAAGGACTGGTTTGTCCGGCTTTCCTCTTTTTAAAATGCACTTTATTTGAGTGTCAATGTATTAAGCACGAACGTACTAATTGGGGACACTATTTTTTACGTCTTCTACCGGAGACGGGACCGCCATTTTACCTGCTCATCCGAGCCACGCCAAGGTCTAGCCATTTGCAAGGCAAAGGCAGTAGCTTCATTTCTCAGTTATTTTAAGACCCTGAGTGTTGGTTCGGTCCCGAGAATCGAACCCGCCACCTCCAGTCAAGCACTCTACCGAATGAGCTAACCGTAACTTCTCACATTGCAAAGAATGCATTTCCTGAAAATTGTAAGCTTGAATTAAGCCATGTTTTTAAAATAAAGTTTCCCAACAACAATGAAATGGCGACATTTTTGGAAAAAATAGCCAAGACATAGAAATATTATAAGCAACAAACAACAGAAAAGATGAAAACAGACCTGAACGTGTGTTGAAAAGATGGCGATTGCGAAGGCGACTATCTGTGACAGAAACAACTTCCATTAAATAAAATTCTTAGGAGCTTCACAGCTTTCACCTCTAGCTCTTTTTAAAATGTGAGGAAACTCGATATGGAAGACTTTAGACAATCTCTTAAGAGTGTACCTTGCTACTAATCCTGGCGAAGATGAGGTCTCAACTCCGTTGTTTACGAGTAGTTCTTTGATACTCCTTGAATTTTTGGTAGAATTTTGGTCTTTCCATCACAATTTGCTCTGCTCAGTATACCTTCTCGTAGTTGGTGTTACATAGGAACCGAAAGACCATCATAAGCCTCACAATTATTTGTCATTCCACCTCTGTTTTCCTAACAAATGTCTGAAAGATACTGATAGCACCCCGAAGCGCCGACGAAAACCCGTGAAATCCGAGAAAATATCGTTGCTACATAAACAGCCATAATATGTTAATACCTGTTGGGCACTTGTTGCCTGTTTGGAAGACTAGAGTCGCGCAGACTTACGAGTGCAGTCGACAACACATCTCTGTTCACATGCCCAGCCTAAGACAAGTTTTAGGCGTCCTGGGAATCGCGCGAATCGTATTTGGTCTCCCTTTCGCTATTTTTGTCTATTCATAACCTGGTTGAAAATGTGTTTTTCATATGTAAACAAAAGAAGATCTAAACCATACAACCGACACGCAGGACTGGGACTAAGAAAGCCTTTATTAATAAATGTAAAAAGTTTACCGAATACATCATCAAAATACTCCAAATTTAAAACTCAAAAACGCTAAGATAGACTATCAAACAAAAACGCAAGGGCTGTCATAAAACATACCAATTTATGCAATGAAGCAAACGTACCAACTCCGCAATCATAACTGAGACTGTGGTGGCTTTGCCATGGTGGCGAGTCCTAACAAGGACGAAACAGCTGTCCATGGCTGCCGCAACCCGTGTGATATGGTTGAACGCATGCGCCAGATAATAGCCACATTTATAAAATAACTAAGATAGTACGCGCGCTCTGATTGGCTGAGAGGAGTGTTTGCATGAGAGTATGTAAACATGTTGTGACGTAGGATGTTTTGCTTTGCGCGCGCTAATCACGCAAGCACGAATTTGAAAACGTTTTAGTGATCAAAACTCGAAAAATTTACTTTATTTACTCATTCCTTCGTCGGCGGAAACTTGGAAAATCTTTACAAACAAGCTGATTTCACTGAGCAGTAACGTAAGTTACAAGTTCTATTCTCAGCCGCTGCCATTGTCCTAGTTCCGGTTCAATGATTTTTTGCGTCAAATCGTGAATGTTGATGAGGCCGAAGAATAAAATAAACATGAAAAAATAAAATAAAAAGCTTAGTTTGCCTTCATCCTTCGCCCTTCTCAGATTATTACGGGCGATATCAGTTAGGGAAGAAAACTGAAGGATCGGAAGAGAGAGCGGATATTCAATCATCTGCTTGGAGATAATAATTGACTAATCAGTACTTTGCGCGCCCAATGCATGATTTTCGATGTCCGTCTGTGTTTTGTGTGATTCAGTGTCAATTCCACGTTTTATTCGATCCAATCAACTACGCTCAGCACACTGTTCACATACAATACCATACAAGAAATCCTTACAAACAAGCAAGTGTCCGTGGCCGTAAAGTTTCTGCAATATCGGTAATGATTCCTTAATGTTCTAAAAGGAAAAATGCCTCTCTTAGGGATGCCTTGGTGATTATAGACGGGGTATGACTGCGCACATGCCTTCCCATTTATCTTACGGATGCAAGCATGCACAAAACTAAAATCTTTAAGACTGCATATGATTATAGTTGCTACAAATGACTTTGCCATCAGGCGTTGAATTTATAAAGGCAGCGCTGATTGAAGTATTAATGCTAGTAAGTTTGGGATTGAAAGGGGGATTTGTCTAAGCTCGTGCTCTTCTTTTTTCCATAGAACTTCATAAACATCACTCGCTTCTCTCTCTGACTATATAAATGTTGAGAGCTTAAACTTCCAAACGGTTTCACAGTAAAATAGCACAATTTATTCGGATCAAATAATCGGTAAATCGATCAACTAAGTTTGGTAATAAGAAAGCCAAGGATTACCAGAAGCGAGCAAACCACCAGGCGAGTCTTATATACGCGTCATGGACTTTTATAGTTCCTGGGTCGCCATCGAAATCAAAAATTAAAAAGTGAGTTTTAAAAAAATATCCAGTGTAAAGTAACAAGCCTTCCACCAGCTATGACAAAAAAGAGAGTTCTTTGCAGCACACACATTCAACTTCACTTGGCATGACTGTTCATCTTTCACAAACACACCAAGAAGAATCTGTCCGTTGATTTTCAGTGCTCGAAGATTGAAATTACGAAACTTTTTCTTTCCCTGAATCCACGGGTTTTTCTTCAGCTTCTTCGTTGGAAGAGTAGTCAGGGTCAAGCTGATAAAGCTGAATAGATATCACGATCGCTTCTGCAGGTCACGACACGAAGCTTGTTGTTTTCAATGAAAAAAACCCGAATTGCGCGCAGGCAGCCAGGGAAAGAAACCAGATTGCGTCATCACCCCAGAGAGCCTTGCACGCCGAGGAAAATGGCGGACGAGTAAAGTTTGAACCAATCATTCTATTGGCCTCTTTTGAACGGTTAAAAAAGAAACTAAAAAAACGAACGTTTTTCTGCGCCAAAAATTTTTTTTGGGGGGTCTTAAAGAACATTTGAACAAGATTTTCTTTAAGAGAGGTGTTATCGTAATGGGAGTTTTTATCGCTTTTCTCAACCCCAATTTATTTTTTTTCTGTCATAATGCAGATATCTTAATAATAACAAAATC